ATTTCACCACCACCATATTTCACCTCTCCAATCCTCATATTTCACCACCACCATAATTCACATCTACAGTCCTCATATTTCACCACCACCATAATTCACATCTCCAGTCCTTTTATTTCACCACCACCATATTGTACCTCTCCAATCCTCATATTTCACCACCACCATATTTCACTTCTCCAATCCTCATATTTCACCACCACTATAATTCACCTCTCCAATCCTCATATTTTACCACCACCATAATTCACCTCGCAAATCCTCGTATTTAACCACCACCATATTTCACCTTGCCAATCCTCATATTTCACCACCATATTTCACCTCTCCAATCCTCATATTTCACAACCACCATAATTCACATCTTCAGTCCTCATATTTCTCCACCACCATAATTCACATCTCCAGTCCTCATATTTCACCACCACCATATTGCACCTCTCCAATCCTCATATTTCACCACCACCATATTTCACTTATCCAATCCTCATATTTCACCACCACTATAATTCACCTCTCCAATCCTCATATTTCACCACCACCATAATTTACCTTGCAAATCCTCGTATTTAACCACCACCATATTTCAGCTTGCAATCCTCATATTTCACCACCGCCATATTTCACCTCTCCAATCCTAATATTTCACCACCACCATATTTCACCTTTCCATTCCTCATATTTCACCACCACCATATTTCACTTCTCCAATCCTCATATTTCACCTCTCCAATCCTCATATTTCACCACCACCATAATTGACCTCGCCAATCCTTGTATTGAACCACCACCATATTTCAGCTTGCCAATCCTCATATTTCACCACCACATTTTACCTCTCCAATCCTCATATTTCACCTTGCGAATACTCATATTTTTTAACCTGTCCGATTTTTTTTAAAAAATAATAAACTGCAGCCTTTTGTGCAGGGTTTCTCAATTGGGGTTTCTCCAGAGGTTGCTAGGGGTTCCTTGAGCAATGAGCAATTTCTGCCTCTCAGGTAAGTTCCCACTAACAGCATTGATCTTTTTAACTATCTGTAAGGGGGTAATTCTTCCCAATTAGTATTAGTATTCCACAAGTATAAGGAGCATTCTGCCCACTGACTATCACACTAATGTATTATGACTTGTAGATATAGTAATTTTCAGCAATGGCTCCCTGAGACCAAAAAGTTATTTCAAGGGTTTTTCTATGTTGAAAAGGGTGAGAAAGGCTGATTTAGTGTGACACACCTAAAATACTCTCCTTCAAAGATCAGGAGCATGAGATCCCATTAAAAGACTGGAGCATTTATTCCCATGAATAAAATAGCACACTTACTTTAAACATGTTGCAAAACAGCATGGGCAATCAATAGAGGGCTATGGAACATTACATCCAAGGTCTGTGTGAGGCAACAAAGGACAGTGCCAAAGCTGGCTTAGGAGGGACCCGCTCTGGATGACACCTAGAGCAGCATCTGCTCCTACCGTTACTCCTTGTGGCCACACTCTATGTCTGTCAAGGGGGTGGCTACCCCCTTGACAGATGTAGAATAGATATGATAAATAGACATGAAAAAAATCAAGTAAAAATAAAAAAAATACATATGAATATTTCATATAAATAACATATAGTCAGCAAAATAGCTCTATGAATGGGGCTTTATGTTCTGTGAAGTACTTCTTTACTGTGTTTGTGACAAAAATAGACATACAAAAGCAGATGCAACCTCAATCTCTTTCTTATCTCAAATGGCAATAATTAGTCAACTCACTCAAGCAGCCAAAAAACAAACAGGCAGTGCTGGGTTTTTGTTAGCTGAGCCCAGCATGTTTTACTGATTGCACACTATACCACTACTATCACTTTATTGGTTGAACTACATGGACCAGTGCATCCTGACCAACTATGTAACTACAATAAATACAGTATTTGTTAGTAAAATCAAGATTTAATATCAAGAAGGTGTCAACTAAAATAGCAAAAGAGCACTGCGCAGAATTGTGACCCAGAATAAAACAAATGCTGCAAAAGTGTCTCCAGAGCTCAATCTCAGTCTTCACGGGACTGAGATTGAGCTCTGCAGTCACTTTGTAGCAGTCTTTTTTTAGCAGGGTCACAATCCTGTGCAATGTCCTTTTAGCTCTTTCGGTCAGTTAACTGTGTCGACTGCGCTTATGCTTATCAGACTATGTTTTCCCAGAAACTGTATATGCCATCATAAACTTTGACACAGTATCTCGCAACATTGCAACTTCAGTCACAGAGGCACCAGCCAAGTGGGCACCAACAATTTGCCCTCTTTGAAGCTCACTATTTCTGGCATGACATGATGGAAGTGAGGCTTCCCACCTCTTATCTAGGTGTTTCATCACACCTTACAACACTTGCTTTCAAAGCAAAACATGTTGTCACTTTCACACCTGCAAATCATGTAAGGTTACCATTTTTTTGTCTAACCCCATTATGTATGTATATATATGTATTGTGTGGTGTGAATTTCCAATGAACATAACAAAAAACTGACTAATATATTCTGAATAATGCAGTGACTAAACACTGCAAACCCATTAAGTCAATACAATTGTTAATAATGTTTTTTAATGACTCCAGGGATGTAGCATTAATTACATTATTTGCAAGTTTTAAATCTTAAACCATATTGTACAGTATATAAAAATGAAAGGATAGGAATGCAAAGTACAACATGACTATTTTTATCAGAAGCAGTAGGAGACTATAATAAAAATGGGACTCGCATGCTGAATATTCCAAAATTAGTCTTGTATACATGTTAAGTATTTTTATTCTCTAAACCAGGGGTGGGCAAACTTTTTGACTTGAGGGCCGCAATGGGTTCATATATTGGACCCGGGGGCCGGACCAAGAGTAGATGAATGATGTGTATGTGTCATCCATAGTAAGTATAGTAATATTCCCCCATAGTAAGCATAGTAATTAATCCCCCATATAGTAATTCATCCCCCATATAGTAATTCATCCCCATATAGTAATTCATCCCCCATATAGTAATTCATCCCCCATAGTAATTCATCCCCCATATAGTAATTCGTCCCCATATAGTAATTCGTCCCCCATATAGTAATTCGTCCCCCAATAGTAATTCTCCCCCATATAGTAATTCATCCCCCCTATAGTAATTCATCCCCCATAGTAATTCATCCCCCATAGTAATTCATCCCCCATATAGTAATTCATCCCCCACATAGTAATTCATCCCCCACATAGTAATTCATCCCCCATATTAATTCATCCCCCATATTAATTCATCCCCCATATAGTAATTCATCCCCATATAGTAATTCATCCCCCATATAGTAAGTCCTCCATATAGTAATTCATTCCCCATATAGTAAGTCCTCCATATAGTAATTCATTCCCCATATAGTAAGTCCCCCATATAGTAATTCATTCCCCATATAGTAAGTCCCCCATATAGTAATTCATTCCCCATATAGTAAGTAGTAATATAGTAATTCAATTCCCCATATAGTAAGTCCCCCATATAGTAATTCAATTCCCATATAGTAAGTCCTCCATATAGTAATTAATTCCCCATATAGTAAGTCCTCCATATAGTAATTCATTCCCCCATATAGTAAGTCCTCCATATAGTAATTCATTCCCCATATAGTAAGTCCTCCATATAGTAATTCATTCCCCATATAGTAAGTCCCCCATATAGTAATTCATTCCCCATATAGTAAGTCCTCCATATAGTAATTAATTCCCCATATAGTAAGTCCCCCATATAGTAATTCATTCCCCATATAGTAAGTCCCCCCCGGTATAGTAATTCATCCCCCATATAGTAAGTCCCCCATATAGTAAGTCCCCCCCCTGTGTCAATTCTTCACTTACCTTTGGTCCCAGCGCGTTCCTCTCGTATTCCCGCGCCGTTCTGGTCTTCAGGGAGGACTGTGAGAGGAGTTCGTCACGCTGCCCCGCCTACATCCTGGCTGCCCCGCCTACATCCTGACAGCTGCAGAGTCCTGACGTCCGAGAGGAGGGAGGGGGGCGGCCATCCGAGAGGGGGGGGCGGCCATCCGAGAGGAGAGGAGGGGAGAGGAGGGAGGGGAGCGGGCACCCGGCACACAGGAGAGCCGCATCTAAATTTGTAAAGAGCCGCGGCTTGCCGACCACTGGCCTTGCGGGAGCCTAGCTCCGCGGGCCGGATTAAAAGGTCCGCCGGGCCGTATACGGCCCGGGCGGGCCGTAGTTTGCCCATTGCTGCTCTAAACATTACATGATTTCATATTTCATGGGGCCTACCCTGTCCTACGTCTGGTTATCTAATGGCAGGAAGCATATTTAAACCTCAATAAATAGATTTAAACTCTTGAATGCTCTTTTACTTTTACTTTAGAAAAGTCCGACCATTTACATAGTTAGGATGAAACAAGAGAAATGTCCATCAAGTTTAAATTAAACAAATAAAAAAAAAACTTAAATGCAAAGTTGGTGCATAGATAGGCATAACCTCATAGCCAAGGTCTTACATGCCCTTTATTGAGTAAGTTACATTTTGCTACACCCTTTCCAGTTCTACAACTTTACATTTATGAACTCATACCCACAATGATACTGTATATTCAAGATGAGGCGTTACTAATGTTCTGTATAGTGGCAAGACTATATCTTTCCATGCCTTTTTTTTTAACTACTTGCCCTCCAAAGAATTTACCCCTCTTCCTGACCAGGCCATTTTTTGTGTTACGGCGCTGCCTTACTTTAACTGAAAATTGCGCGGTCATGCAATGCTGAACCCAAATGAAATTTTTGCTATTAAACATGTCCAGTAAAAAAAAAAAATCAAATGTCATCATAAATTTAGGCCAAAATGTATTCTGCTACATGTCTTTGCTAAAACAAAATCCCAATACGTGTAAATAATTGGCTTACGTGAAAGTTATAGTATTTACAAATGGCGGTATATATACTGGGATTTTTTTTTTACCAGTAATGGTGGCGATCAGCGACTTATAGTGGGACTGCGGGACTGCGGTGGGCATTCTGACACTGGGGGAACTGACTTGGTGTCACTGACATCTCCAGTAACACCAATACAGTGATCAATGTTAATAAATAAAAAGCACTGACACTATACTAATTGCACTGGACAGGAAAGGGTTAACTTCTGGGGTGATCAAAGGGTTAACTGTGTGCTGTTTTACTGTAAGCTGTGTGTGTGCTTTCAACTATAAGAACACAGCTTTGTATGTGTGCAGGAGCTGACAGGGGAGAGAACTGTACTGTTTATATACAGTTCTCTCCCCCCATCGGTAATGCTTGGCAATCACCGGGTGCAGGTGAGTAATCTCCGGCTGGGACCCGGTGATTGACAGCCGAGGCTGCAAATAGCAGTGCAGGCAGGACGTGCCCCCTACCCAGAAATGCAAAATCACGTATATATAGGTGATTTTGTGCACCCCTGCTGCCCTGTAGCAGTATATCTGCTATAGGGTGGTGGGAAAGCGGTTAAAGAGGTGGAAGCTGTGCCCAAAAAAAGACATGCAGAGGACAAATGACTAGTCACCAGTATTGCATATGATCTGCTCTTCCTGTAGCTGATTTTTTCCCCATTACTGACTTATCACACTTTGTTCTGCAACTCTTCTCTGTGTGGATGCTGCCAGCTTGGCAGAGGAGCAGGGCTTCAGGCTGCTGAACTGAAAAGATTAGTTGTGTGGTCAACAGTGCAATTCAGAAACTTAACAAAGTTGCTTCTATGGGAAAATCTGCAATATTCCCTTCACCTTTTCTGACAGCAGAGATTAATCTACCGCATACAACTGCTTTTAAATCAACAAATTTGGCAGGTGATTGTACTTTCACCTTGGAACTGGTCCTTTTGGAACTCCATCAAAATAAAAGAAAAATAATTAATGCTGAGTTCCTCAACTATTAGTTTACTTACACAAAATGTGATCCAAGGATTACATTTTTTCATTAATAATGAAGAACTCTGGCCTGATTTAAAGAAATGGTATCGTTTTAAAATGAGAGACCAGTGAAATCATTAAATATAATTATATAATTATAACTTTTACCACCATTCCCTGTAATAAATGAGTAATATGCAGTTCAGGCATTGTTAATAAACATCATGATGATTGACAGGTCAGTTTACAAAGAGCAAAACTGGAACTTTTGTTACTGGATCGTGAAGTTAGACCTTTTTTCCTATACCTTAGACCTCGGCCCTTAATTAATGGCACATTTAAAGTACACAACATCTGCAGTTGATTAAATGAAGGTAAGATGCTAATGAAACCTCATGAATCATGAAGTCTTTATAACTAACCTAACAGTAATTAAAGCAGTAAGTTGGTAACCCTGGCATAGCTATGACATACTAAGCAGGATATAAAGGTGCCACACAAAGTGCTAGATGTTTTTCAGTTCTTCCATGTTGTCCATTGTATCTTAAGGGGTTTATTGGTATATGCAAAACAAAAAACGATAATGTCCACTGGTGGAATTAGGGAAGTGGACATTAGGACTTTAAGGAAAGATCTGTGTAAGATTGAAGCACCAATGACAGAATCATGGGCATTAACAAGGGCAATGTCCATGTGGATGCCAAGACTTGAGAACTGGGAGATCAGTCATATACTGGGAAAAGCACAGCCATATTGGAAAGAGACAAGATAATATGAACAGCCTATGACAAATGAAAGACAATAGAAAGCAACAGAATGCTCTCATTAAGGCGTAAAACCTAAAAGTTCCCAGTATTTACCAGAACCTCTGAATTTGAATTTGATAATGAATTAGAGCCTCTGAGGATGAATGTCTGAAAAATAAATTAAGCTAAGAAAGAGAGTAAATATGGAGCACTGGCAAGGCAAATACAGGGCAAGAAGCATCCAAAAACAAAAATAAATACTGTGCTAACATATACTAGAGGTAAAGAGAAGAGCTGATGCAGAAAGGCAGGTAGGAATTGGTTACATAAGATAACAGGTAATAATTAAGATTGCTACAAGCAGACTTAGGAGGAATATAGGTGAATAAAAAAGGAAACACTGAACTTAGGAGCATTTTAACAGAAGAATTAGGACAGCAGACCTTTTGACAAAGCAACCAAATACACCACAAAGCAGACTTGGGTCAGAAGGTGAAGCCAAACTAACAAGTCAACAGAGAAAATACCAATATGAGAAATGAACACAGGGTCAAAAGTCAAGCTGACAGCTAAAGATGGACCAGAAGTCTTTCTCACCCAGCAACAGTTATAAATTACCTTTGCGGGTGGGGGGGTTGCAGAATAGGGCTAACCACAAAACATCAATGCCCCAGTGGAGTCTCCTGGGAAATAAAAGACAAATATAGACACGACAGGCAGAACACAAAATTGCCCACAGGTGGAAGTGAGTGGCGAAGGGTGGAGACACAGAATAAGAGTCATGAAATGTACAGCCAATAGAGGGAAAATCAGGGGAGGGGCAGACAGAAAAGATGAACTGCATGGAAAGAAAACACCTAGAGAAAGCAAGGTTGAATATAGATGTATCTCTGAGAGTGATATTTGTAATAAAAAAAAAAAAAAAAACACAACCAAGGTCATGGGTAGTCAGATCCAAATGGGAACGTTTCATATTTATGGCTTGATTGTCTAAGTGATGTTGACCTTACTCCTGCCCCAGTAGCTTCCATTTAATTCCAAAGTTGAGCTTTGCAAATAAAGACTGAATATTTTAAATGTGACTCATCTGAAAATGGTATTCCATCTGTGAATTGTCGTATTTCCTGTCCGCTTATTGCCTTTACATGCATCAACATGCGTCGTCATACACAAATCTTTTTCTCATTCACAGTGTAATTCGCTCATGCATGCATAATACATAATATATACTTGCAAATGGGTTTCAAATTGCAAACTGGTGTGTATTTAATGAGCTAAAGTACTTGTGCTGAAATTATAAAATATATGTAAAGTATACAACATTTAAGATAGCCATATTTACCTTTAACTTTAGAGAAATCCTCTTCAAAGCACCACTGGAACTTTTTGAAGATCAAAACTAAATACTGACTTTCTGAAAGTTGTTTTTTGTACAGGCTTAGGCATAACCCCACCCTCCATGTTACACTGCTTGGGTCTTAAAATTGCTTAGGCACAGGAGGAACAGGTGATGATACTATAATCCCCATATTTCAGAAGTAATGATTTTTCAGAGGACTTTGAAGAGGGTTTCTCTTTAGAAAGAAAACATCTGGTGTTTTATGGTTCATACTATACAGCTCCATGCTTAGTCTACTAGCTTCTGAGATAGGAAGGGTTCATTTTAAAGTAAATCTTAGACTTTGCAGGGTGATAAATAAACTTTACTACCTCTTTTCTTAGATGCACATATTTATTTTCTGTTTGCTCAACTACCCCTTCACTAGACCGCCAAGACTGAAGAGAAGAAGCAGTGTGTAAACTCAAGGTCAGAATTTGAAGATCAAACAAAGCTAAAAACTCTCTCCACGCCCTCTTGTAGCAGCCCTGGTTGTCTATGCAGGTAATCCTGAAGCCCCAATACTCTTGTTTCTAGTGAGTTACATGTTCCCCATACCTGGAAGTACTGGGTATTCATTTACATGTCCTCCCCAGCTGCCCTTCACAGCTTCACATACTCACCTTACCTTCGATTCCCTGCCTCCTGGTTCCTTCTCCATGGGCAACTTTAAACATACTATACATAAACACCATATACGCACTAAAATGTCTCATAAGTATATGAAATAATTTTGTACATTTGACATGATAGTACGTTAAATAGATTGAATGAAAATTGTCCCCTATTAGCATGAAAATTTCCAATAAAAAAGAATTTGACAAAATTGGCCCCCATCAGCAATTACCCCCCACCACATCTACTCTATTTAAAATAGCACACTTCTATTATTTCATTATACCCTTTGATTCATATTTTAATTAAAAGGAAACAGTGCTTCCTAGAAACATAGTGACAGTTTCAACTGCCCTACTTATAAAATTTTGCACGCTTGGTAACTGTTGGACTTACCAATTGCTGTGTATTTAGAATGATGGCTTGGACATTTCTGCATTAAAGTCTTAACAAATTTAGGCCAAATTGAATTAACTGGCATAGAAAGATATGTCTGTAACTTTAGATCAGGAGCACATACAACACCTTAATTTTAGAACAAATAATTTGTGTTCATTTTACATTTATCCAATTCTTTGTACAAAATGTAGTTTTAATAGGGACCATAAATGGGGAAATGGGGAAACTATAGATGGTAGATACTCTAAATGCTCACAAACATGAGGTGACAGGTTAATGACCCACCCATTTTCATCTAAATTGGGAAACTATGTTATAAGTATGGTGAGCTTCAGACCTGGCCGGCAAGAGATCAGAAGAGCACAAAAACCTTGACCAGTCAATTTTGCTTCCTATCAGGGCCATGATCATCTGTGTTATGTATGCTCCTACGCCTCCTGTCCTGTACAGCTTAAGCAGGAACATTTGTATGACCCAAGCATTCCTGTTTATTGGTGAGGCTGGGCTAAATGATGAGATGCAATCATATTGCACAGGCAAAACTCAGCCTTACCTCAACTATTCTCTCCTCTATGTGGCCAGCTTAATGTCAAGACCTTTTACAAAAATAAATATAAATTGTAATTGGAAAAGGGTTTGTATCAGGTCAAAAACACTGACAGAGTGATTTGTGTGCTAATTATTTTTTAGAATATGTATAATAATTATAATTTATCCTATTTACACCAAATTAATAAAATTGTTATTGGCAGGGCTAGAACCCACTAAACTTCTCTTTTTTTATGATAACATACATATGCAAATGCCCTAGCAGATGTCTGAATGCAAGTCATTCATTTCAATGTGTCTTCCGAGCAGCTAAATTCATAAAGCACTAAATCCTGAATGCAACTGAAAAACAATATTTTAAAGCACATCTAGAATTCACTAAAAGGAGGGGACCACAACTAAATTAATTGGAAATAAGGATAGAATTTGAATACACAGCATGATGAAACAAGTCAAAGAACACCGCACATTGGTTTGATGCATTTAGATATACACAATCCCTACAAATAAAAATAAAGAGACATTTGCCATTCAAACTACTTACCAATCGTATACTTTGATGGTGGATTTGTTGATCTGTAACTTCAGAGTAGGCTGTCCCCATACAATGACGGTTTCATTCACAAAGTCCCCAGTCTCTTGCTGCAGGTTAAGAATGAAAATCATCAGCACTTAAAGCAGACTTGCCAATTTTTCCAGCATGAACCAAGATATTACAGTGGGAATTCACTGTCCCAGTATAACAAGAGCGACACAGGCAGCTGGATTCGGATGCTAAACATGTCCAAGGGAGTCACACTCACCATGTGGATAATCAGCTATTTAACATCACAGCTTGCTACGGCTGTGTCAAAACTGCTGGGTAAAATAGAATTACAATGGGAGAAAAAAATTCGCTTAGCCAGCTAACACAGAGAAATGTGGCACGCTGCTCTATTCAAGTTTTTTCTGCAGAGTGCCTGGGTGTAGCACAGCAGGAGAGGGACAGGGGCAGCCCTCATCTGGTCAGCACTTGTTGCTATTTCCAGAGCTCACACAATCCATTCTCTTTTGCCTGGAACATCAATGCAAACACAAACCAATCAGACTTCCCAAGGGCAGTAACTGGATCGCGTCTCTTCCCAGTCAGAGGAATTATGCCTAAAAAACCTTTTCTGTAACAGGCAAACTGCTCACAGCACATGACACAGTGTAACACTTACCTAATGCAATCTCCTGGGACTCGCTACGTAGACGATGAGCAAATTCCGAAAATTATATTCAATATGCACTGGAAGTCATATGCAAATTGCAGTATGTTGTTAGATATTAGCATTTAATTGATTATTATTATACAGGATTTATATGGCACCAACAGTTTGCACAACGCTTTGCAAAATAAAGAGAGACAATACAGTTTCACAACAATTCAAGGAAAAGATTCAAATAAATAAATAATAAAATAAAATAAATAAATAAATGAGGTGCTGGGCTAGCCTCTAAATATACAGCGCAAAAACATAAAACATACAGGGCATGAAAACCCAATAATTACTTGTGTTACATGAAACAATATGTAGAATAAATAAATACAACTGTTTCATTTGTATCCATGCAAATGTCCCAAAAATTACAATTCAAACTGTGACCTTTGGTGCATAAAACTATATCAAAGGTGCTGTAAACCGAGCAAGTCTCTCTTTAAACTTTACACTGTGCTCTTCCACACAAATTCTTCTCCAAAACTCATGCCTGGTGAACTACAATACACCTCCTCCAAGCTCTGCGCATGCTCCAAAATGCGTTACCACTCCATGTTCACGTCACTTCCGGTCCGTGGACAGCGTGTGTTCCAGCGTGCGCTCCAGCGGTCTGGATAGAGCTGCGGCCATCTTTAACACCTCTTCTCAAGCTCCCCCTGAAGCTGCTGTCTGACACAGCGACTCCATCGCTTAGAGGACAGAGCCTTGCTATTGACAGATTACATTAGGGCCTGTTTATACTACCACATTGTAAGTGTTTTTTACCCGCTTTTATTAAAAGTTGACCTTGGAATACTGCATTTAGAAGCGCCTTCCTGTTTCATCTTCCTGTGCACACACCCACACTATGCCCTCACCATATTTCAGTGACCCTCTAATGTTAAAAGGTGGGTCCACAAAAGCATGAATGAATCGATCCTTCCAGGTCATCTCCTTTATCCTTAGGGTGGGAGGAGATGACCTGAAAGGCTGCCTGGAAGGATTGCTTCATTCATGCTTTTGTGGACCCACTTATTAACATAAGAGGGTCACTGAAATATGGTGAAGGCATAGTGTGGCTGTGTGTGCACAGGAGCACGTGGTTTTCCACCTTGGAGGAGGTGTATTGTAGTTCACCAGGCATGAGTTTTGGGTAAGAAATTGTGTGGAAGTGCACAGTTTAAAGTTTTGAGTCCAAATTAAAAAGAGACTTGTTTGGTTTATGGCACTTTTGATATATATTTTTTTTGTACCAAAGGCCAAAGTGTATATGTATTTTTTTTAGATATTTTGTATGTATGTCTAATAAGAGTAATAAAATAAATTATTTAAGTTACATATTTTTCATTTCATGTAGCACAATGCCCTGCATGTTTTAATATGTTTTTGCACTGTATATTTGGGAAATAGCCCAACACCTGATTTGAATCTTTTTCTTAATCTATGGGCAGCACAGTGGCTACATGGTTAGCACTTCCGCCTGGCAGTACTCGGGTCGTCGGTTCGAATCCAAACCATGGCACCACTTGCCTGGAGTTTGCATGTTCTCCCTGTGCCTGCGTGGGTTTCCTCTGGGTACTCCGGTTTCCTCACACACTCCAAAGATATGCTGGTAGGTGAATTGGATCCTGTCTAAATTGTCCCCTGTATGTGTATGTTTGTGAGTTAGGGACCTTAGATTGTATGCCCCTTGAGGGTTAGGGACTGATGTGAATGTACAATATATATGTAAAGCGCTAAATTGACGGCGCTATATAAGTACCTGAAATAAATAAATAATCTGTGACTGTTAACCCTATTAATTGGGGGAGACGGTTGTGGTGCAACCCGCTTCCAAGATCAGTAGAATCAGTCTAACTGCATGATCCTTGAAGTAAACAATACAATTCCACACAAGAGAGTTATGAAGGCTCTGTTCGTGAGAGCTTAAAGTTGTAAAGGCTCAAGGGTTTTCACCTCCATGCGTTCTATACATGAATGTAAAAAACATTTTGTGTGCAGCAGCCCCCCCCAATACTTACTTGAGCCCCATCATGATTACAGTGATTTGCATGTGAGCCTCAGCTCTCCGGGGACTCTCCCTCCTCATTGGCTGAGACAGCTGTCAATCATGGCCATTGAGGCAATGAGGAGAGAGGGGAGGCTGGGTGGGGCCTAGCTGTGGCTTTGTGTGTGAATGGACATACAGAGCAGCAGCTCAGGAGCGAGCCTGCTTGGGTGCCCCCTTAGCAAGATTCTTACTCTGGGGGCACTTGGCAGCAGGGAGGGGCCATAAGCACCAGGAGACCCGAGAAGAGGAGGATCAAGGGTGTTCTGTGCAAAACCATTACACAGAGCAGGTAAGTATAATATGTATACACGGTTAGATTTTTCCCAATCAGCCAGTGGGCTGAACAAAAAAAAATGAAACAAGCAAATTCCCACATCCACACAAGCAAGGTGGATGGGGGAATCTTCCCCATCGCAACATTTACAGGGACTCTCTGCTGTCTGAATACACTGATCAGTGACTGGATTTTGATCCATCAATACCTACCTTTATAATCTAAACGGGAAGGTCAAGTGATACAAAAGTTAACTGTGGGGTGATGAGTTGTTTGTGAAAGTAGCAATAGATTTGTTAGGTAGAGGTGGGATAGATTTTCCAAAAAAGATATGTTTTTAGGGATCGACAAAGTAGAAGATAGTAATGCAGGTTGGGGAGAAATTTATGTAAAGTGGTATTAAACCAAAAAACAAAAATGTATACATTTATAAATTACATTGCAGCATACAGATTCTTAGATGTGGTGGCTGGATTCATTTTCTTTTTTAGGCTTTTTTCCTGTTATTTTTCAACTTCCTTTAACAGACCAAACTGTCCAGACAAAGTAGCAGTTAGAGGGTTGAGACAAAACATTTAACACTGAGATGGGCACTTATACTGATAAGCATTTATTTATTTTTTCTCAATAGATGGCAGGGGCGGACTGGCAGCTCATGGGGCCCCGGGCAATAGGGGATCATGGGGCCCCTGTGTCCTTGCCCAAACTCAAAAAAGCATATGAAAAAGGTACCAGGGGCACCCCCTACTGACCCCGGGCCCTCGGGCAGTGCCCGAGTTTCCAAATGGTCAGTCTGCCCCTAGTAGATGGTTGAGGCAAACCATTTAAATACTGATGGAGGGCTTAAATTACCAGCTTTTATTCATTTTTGTAAAACCTTTATCCTAAAAGGAAAAAAATATTTGCCTTTACTGCCTAAAAAGTTTTAGCTAAAATTTGGCTTTCATTCCTTAGTCTTGTCCACCTAAATCTGCAAGTCTCAGATTGACAATGATGAGTGTTGTCACCCTAAGACAGTAAGTATGTTACTGGCTGGATCACTTGGTAAAAGTAAAGAAAAAAAGCCTAAAAAAAACACGAATGCAGCTACCAGAATGAAGGATTTGTAAGCTGAAATATATAAAATTTTTTGTTTGGGGTTTAATACCACTTTAATTAACAGATAGGGGATTATTTATACCCATTTGCTGCACATTTGCCATAGGTTTGTCGAGGAGTCACCAAGCTTATTTATAAAGCACATCTGTCCACATTTGTCAGCCACTGTCCTTCAGTAGAAAAGGTGCCTGCTGTACTTTCATCCTATATATATCCAAGAAAGTGTCAGCTTTGTAATACGGTCTTTTTTGTTTCAAAGCTTTGAACTGTGGAAACTGTGCCGTCACCCTGTTATCACAAAATATTCACAGAGTTGTTAATAGACTGCTCATTGGATCTTTTGTTTTTATGTGAATTTAATGAGCTCGTGTCCAGGGGCAGACTGACCATTTGAAAACTCGGGCATTGCCCGAGGGCCCGGGGTCAGTAGGGGGCCCCATGAGATGCCCCTGGTACCTTTTTCATAGACATTTTTGAGTTTGGGCAAGGACACAGGGGCCCCATGATCCCCTATTGCCCGGGGGCCTCATGAGTTGTCAGTCTGCCCCTGCTCGTGTCTGAAGCAGCAGTCTTTTACCCGCTTCCCTACTGCCCTATAGCAGAAATACTGCTACAGGGCAGCAGGGCTGCGCAAAAGCATGTCTATATACGTGATTTTGCATTTTCAGGTAGGGAAATGTAAAATCACGCCACCCTAATGCACCACCCTACCCGCATCGCTGTTGGTGGCTACAGATGTCAATCACTGGGTCCTTAGCCCAGAAACTCCCCACCGACACTCGGCAATCGCCGAGAAACACTGACAGGGGAGAGACCTGTGACTGCTGTGTATTTGTCTGCACAACAGAGAAATACACAGCAGCATGTTTCCCTATTAAAACACACACAGCACATTATGCTAAACAGCACACAGTTAACCCTTTGATCGCCCCAGATGTTAACCCCTTCCTGCCCAGTGTCATTGGTACAGTGTCAGTGCTTTTTATTAGCACTGATCACTGTATTAGACTGGATTCACACATATGCTGTGCGGTATATCGCATGTGATTCGCACAGGAACCGCACTGCATTCCTGTGCAAATCACATGCGATTTGTGTATGGTGAGATTGAAGTCATACATTTTGTATGGCTCTAATCGCACTGCACCCACACCAAAAAGGTGCAGGGCCCTTTTTTGGGTCCGCACTAGAATCAGATAGCATGGGTATTCACACTTATGTGATCCGATTCTGCACATCGCACCGCGTTTTGCGGACCGCTTTTAGGGTGTTGTTAACTTCACATGAACGGGGTGCGATTCTGATGCGGTGCGGAATTCGCACTGAAAATGCTGCGAATTCCGCACCACATCAGTGTAAACCAGGGCTTAGTGTCTTTGAGATGTCAGTGGCAGTTAGTTCCCACCCAGTGTGAGAATGCCTGCCACAGTCCTGCAGTCCCGCTATAATTCGCTGATCGCCGCCATTACTAGTATTAAAAAAAAATCCAGTATATATACCACCATTTGTAGACGCTATAACCTTCACGTAAACCAATTAATTTACATGTATTGGGATTTTATTTAGCAAAAAGGCCTGATCAGGAAGGGGGATAAATCCCCTGGAGGGCAAGAGGTTAAAGTGTATCTGAAACAGAGAATGAAAATATAATATATTGCAGCTGACCAGCCCTTAAACATGACGGTTACAGTGGCCTATCCTCAATGTTTGCAGTGTGGTGATGGGGCTCACTGTGGTCTCATTCTGCACACATTGAAGATTACTGTCAGCAGGGGTTGTCTTTGCTCTCTGCTTCTCCCTCCTGCAGTCTCCACCACAGGTCCCCTCCCCCCCGCCACCATCATTTTACTGTGATTGGTTGCTAGGACTGCCATGCTTCCTCAGCACGCACAGTCAGACAGGAACTTCCTCTGTGCAGTGCTGCTCCACCTCCCACTTCCTGGCTTCTGGTCTCATCCTGTAAGGGATTCCGCTCTAAGGGGGAACTCTGATCTAAAGGGGGACTTTGATCTAAGCAGTGACTCCAGTGAGGGGATTTATCTAAGGGGGACTCTGATAAATTGGTGACTCCAATGTAAGATGGGACTAAATATCTGATCTAAAAGGGGACTCTGAAGGGGCAACTCTGGTCCAAGGAGTGACTCCAATGTAAGAGGAAACTGATCTATAATGGGAATCTGATGTAGGAAGGGACTCATATAAAAGGGGACAATGATTTAAGGGGAATTCTAATCTAAGGAGGGGCACCAATAAAAAGAGGACTCTGATGTATGGGGTGGCTCCGAGGTAAGAAGGTGATGTGGGGAGGGGTGGGGGGGACTGATGTAAATGGGTGCTCTGATGTGAAAGAGAGTTGTAAAGGTTGCTAGTCACTGACTATTTTATGAAGTTCTTCTGTAAGGTAGGCTTAAGGAAGGTAAGGTAGTTTGAATCACAACCAGGACACCACCTATATGGAGATTGCATGTTCTCTCTGTGTTCTCACTGCTAGTACTGTATGTGTATGTATGCATGTGATGATGCCAAATGCTTTCAGCAGTATATTTAAAGTGGTTGTAAACCCTCGCATATACCCAGAGAAATAACTGGCCTCAGGTGATACACAGACGAAACAAATCCTCCTACATACGTTGTACCTGTATATCTACAGTCATTTCCCCCTACAGCCATTCAAAGTGCAGAATTACACAGGATCTCATAGCTCCGAAAAGCAGTTGGTGTGCAGCTGAAGTTACATCAGTGAGTTGAGCTCTAAGAGCTGATTGGAGGGAAGAGACACTCCCCCCCCCCCCCCCTTCACACAGCTCACAGGAACAGAGCTGAGGCTGTCAGTCTGCTGGAGGTCCATCCCCTGTCACCATTTTTCTCTTGGAGTCAGGAAAACTTGTCAGAACTGACTCATGCAGATAGCAAAGGAATGAAGTAGCAGAGAGAAATGACAATAAGACAAGCACACACTATAGAGGGATGTGCTTTATTCATATTTCATATCTGAGGTTTATAACCACTTTAACAGACCAGATCAAAAGAACTGAAGCCTATTTTTAAGGGTTACATACACTTTAATGTTATTCACTGTTAAAGTAAATTGTCCTGAGTGAAATATGGGGCTGCCATTGCTGTCCTCCTTTGAGCACTGTGAATTGCTGACTTGAAACAAGTATGATGGTAATTAATGTCAGAGTTATTTTCTTATTTATCCCAGGTCAATGACTCAACGTATACTAACCAGAAGGTGGTCAGCACAAAAGTCGAACTCTAGGTATGATTTCTATTGCATATGTACATGGGTCAAGCTTGTTCCAATGTGAGCTGACAATCACTCTAAGCAATCTTCCAGGTTCTGTGCTGAGTGGCTTCCCTTCTGCATAGTGGCTGGGGCAGCACAGTGGCTAAATGATTAGCACTTCCACCTACCAGCACTAGGGTTGTTAGTTTGAATCCCAACCACAGCACCACCTGCCTGGAGTTTGCATGCTCTCCCTGTGCCTGTGTGGGCTTCCTCCAGTTTCCTCCGACACTGCAAAGACATGCTGGTAGGTTAATTGGACCCTGTCTAAACTGGCCCTACTATGTGTATGTATGAATGTAAGTTAGGGACCTTAGATTGCACACCCCTTGAGGGTTAGGGACTAATGTTAATGTACAATATATATGTAAAGCGATGTGTAAATTGACAGCACTATAAAAGTACCCGAAATATATAAAATAGTAACCACAAGGGGGTCATTATCTCAGCACATTCACAGAACACATTGTATTTATTTTTTCAATTAAAATAAGGCATTCTCTGATTGCATGAAATGGAGATCGTGATGTCACCACCTCCTCCAATCAGAGAATGTATTGTATTCCTTAAAAAAATACAGTGTTCTGTGAATGATGGTGGACCTGAGTGAGCAACCCCCTGTGGTTACTAGGAGGAAGGACAAACATTCTGAACCCTGAAGATTACTGTTATCATTGTAGTAGTGGTGAATACTACAGTGATTTGCAGCCTCTACAGAGAGCACTAGGGAATGAGATATGCATACTTATATTGGTCAAATGTAACTATGCAATACAAATCATACCTACAGATCAGCTTTAAAACCATAGTAGATATAAGAGAAATTTACTTTATCTGGCTATTTATGGTCAGATTGGGGAGGTATTTGTATGTCTATAGGTCTTCCCTGATGATGTCACATGACTAAGCTCACGTGGGGGAGGAACAGGGACTAGGTTCTACAAGGTAGTTAGCTCTCATAGTAGATGCGCTTATATAGTGAGTCCAAGACAAAGAGGAACTATTTTTAAGGGCTTGATAGACCACTTTTATTTAAAAGATAGCAAAAGTTCACAACAGAGTGACGTCCCACGCAGGGGATCTTTTCCAGCTTCAACAAAAAGGCAAACACTAGAAAATGCTGAGCCACCTGGCTCATAAGCTCACTCAGCTTCAATAGCAGTACCTCACCTGGATACATGGCTCTATAGGCTTTAGTAACACCACCCTGCTGTATGGCCCACCTCTGGCCTATGGATGGGGGGTTCTCCTGACACCCTGATAGGGGAAGACCTGAGTCATCTGAGTGGGACCTCTGTCTCTTGGCTTCTTGTTGGGTCCTCTGACCCTCAATGAGAATTTCCGACACACACACACACCACAACACACACACACACACACACACACACACACACACACACACACACACACACACACACACACACACACACACACACACACACACACACACACACACACACACACACACACACACACACACACACACACACACACACACACACACACACACACACACACACACACACACACACACACACACACACACACACACACACACACACACACACACACACACACACACACACACACACACACACACACACACACACACACACACACACACACACACACACACACACACACACACACACACACACAGTTTTGGTTTCTTTTTTTTTAACTTCTTGAATGTTTCAAGTTTATAAACTAGTCTTTTTATGATCTTTCCTTTACTAACCTAAAACCCTAAATTAAAGGATAAGTTTACCTTTTAACAAAAATAAATGCCCATTTTTTTTGCAGGTAAAAAACCATGCATTTACTATTTTTTATATTAGGAGCCTGGAAAGCATTGCACCAGCAATCAGCAGATTGCTGGTGCCATGCAGATCTCCTGCAGACTATCAGTGTAATCTATCTGCTCATACCTCATATGTGCAAACAGTTTAACACTAACAGGAGGAATCAATGAACAACCACAGTGTTCAACAATGGTAGCTCTTTGAGAGCTACAAGCCATCAGTCGCAAAGGTAGTCGGGACTTGTAGTTTCCCGTTCACAGAACTCTGTGAACAAATGATGCTGCTGGGAGGGAGGGGGCCGCATGGCCACAATTTAAAAAAATTGTGACAGCTAACAGGGGAAGAAGATCCCCTGCAAACTGTAACAACAGGAGATCAGGGGGGTGCAGGGGCTGATCCCACTGTAATATGTTTGTATCCTGTACCATTTTATGAAGGTGAAGGTATCCTTTAACAAATAATCATTTAATTCAGAATTAATTAATTGAGAATTTACAGATCATACTCGGCTTTCTAATATAAAATCCTAGTAGTTGCTGTTTGCCTCTTGTCTATGTCAGGTGGCAAATACACTCCTGATAAATGATCAATTTCTTTTCCAATTGATCTCTTCCAGTAGGAATAAACAAACTATAGTTGACAAACCAATCAATTAATATGCTACACACAGGGAAATGGATTTTAACCACTTCTGGACTAGCTGCCTGAAATGTACATATCTCTATTTCTACTAATAAAACTCATAATTTGATCAATCAAAATAGGACTGAATTCATGACCAAAGAGTCCCAGTGCTGGCAACTGCAAAATGCAAAATGATCAATAATTTCTCCACCTCGACTGATTGACTCAGTTTGTTGGAATTTAAATAAAAAACTAGTTTAATTCAGAAAGGAAGGTGTGGCTATTCAATTGTTTTCTGATTTGATTGTTGTTCAAATTGCACATCGCTCAGAAAATAAAATTGAAGCATGTGGCCATCATATTTGGCATCTCATATATAGTCCTATGAGATGTTGAAGGAGAAGGGTGTGTTCCTCTTCATTCAGCTGCAAATTTTGAGCAGAAGATCAAAATGACAGCCTGTTCACTGCAAACAGGTAAAATGATATACACTATAAATTGCTCTTAAAGGTTAACTATAGGGACCTAATCACACCTTTGTGTTGTAATACACCTTACATTTGTTAGTGTATTTTTAAATAGCATCCCAATGTACCTCCAGAATGCACCTGTGTTGCAGCGAACTGCAGTGAGGGTGCAGGTACATTTTTGTATGTTCTGGTAAACAGGCTGCTTTGCAGTTCCCTCTGACTAATAGAAACCTGGGACATCTGATAAAAAGGATGTCACTGCTGAGAGTCACTGGGATGCACTATTCCATTTCCATTTGTGTTTGGTAATTGCATCTACAGAACCTGTAGTTTAGCTAGGGGGAGTTAGACCCTAATAGCTAGTTAGGAGCTGATTAGCAGCTCAGGTGAGATAGTCAGA